CGTTACACCTGGCCTGTGGGAGGTTTTAGACTGATGATTCGCAGCACCAGCTTTGCATTAGCCTCCCCAGGTGTCTTAAAATCTACCTGTGCCCTGACTCCATCTCCAGAGGTGTGTTTATCAAGGGGTGAAGCCCATACGTGGGAATTAAAAAAAAAACAAACCAGAGGACAGCAACAGTAACGCACCTTTAGGGGTGATTCTGATATGCAGTGGTTTAGATTTAAGGCAAAGCAAACAAAAACTTATCAGAACTTAAATGAAGATCTCCGTGTGTTGCTTGATAAAGTCTTAGTAATGCAATATTGAGAGCTTGACTGACTCCCTTGATTTTACTAAACCAACTAGTTGTTGACATAATGGAGCCACAGCCTCAGGTTACAATTTATAACCTGAATTTTCCCAAGCGTAGACGCCTGTCCAGGGACACCGTCTGGGCCACATGAAGATTTAATGCGCAGGTGTCAGTTCCCATCTCTTAGACGGGATCGGGCGCGTTCAGGGTGGTATGGCGGTAGACGTTTCCATCCCTTAGGAAGGACAAAGGAGATTGGGGAAGGGACAATGAAAAGGCGAAGGAAAGGGGCAGGCTGTGGACCAGGAGCAGATGAGTGGGAGACAGAGGGAGAGACAGGGAGAGCAGAGGGAACCCTTGAGTTTAATTGATTCAGCAGGTTTTGTTTAAGCTACAAACTGATGACTGTAGTGCCGCATTAGGGTGTGGGCATATTTTGCGTGACTTACACATTCTTTGTAAATTGTTGGGAGTTAGTTGCCAACATTTTTTGAAAAATCACAATTTCATTTATAAACCGGTTTTCTGGCATTCCTTGCAGAAAAAAATCAAAAGAGCTTGCTCATTTCTGTTGCAAGTTAGAGGAAAGCAGGTATGCCGTGTGCTCTGCAGCTCCTTGTGTCCGGTGTTCTTTGTTCCTTTATCTTGTCTACTGGGGCCCTGGCTATGTCTGTTTTTAGCCTTTAATCCTCATCTAGATTTTAAGCCTGTACATTTGGATCCCTTGGAGAGGGTTTAAAATACCCACGCTTGGATCCTGTCCTACACTCATTAAGTTGGAAGCTTATTACGTGTGGCATCCCTTATCAGTATTATTTTTATAAAGCTCCTGGGGTGATTCCTATGTCCAGTCAGAACTGAGAACTACTGGTCTACTAAGTTGGCTATTCGAAAGAAAGCCAATTTAAGTTCATCTTCTTACCATTTAAAAGGAACCCTTAGGAAAGAGTTTATAAGCTGGGCATGGTGGCGCACGCCTGTAATCCCAGCACTTGGGAGGCTGAGGCAGGAGGATCTTTGCGAGTTCGAGGCCAGCCTGGGCTACAAGGTAAACTCAAGGCCAGCGTAAACTGCATAGCAAGACCGTGTCCCGCCCAAAAAAGAGTTGATAGATCCAGAAAACTTTAAAACTGGAGAGATCTTTGAGAGAGCATCGGTTAACCCAACCTTCCAGAGACCCAAAGAGAAGAAAGGAATTACTGAAGGACTAAGCCATCACTTGGTTTGGAATTATTAAAATGTCTTTTATTACTTTTTTTCTTTTTTCATATAAACGTGTATTTTTAAAGTTTTTGTTTTATAAATGATCTGCTTTACTTTTACTACTTTTTGTTGTCTAGACCTCTTAATATTTCAATTTTTTTACATTATTTTGTAAGGAGTTAACTATCACAGTTTATAATGCTTAAGACTAGATCATAAAATTCCTATCCACTGTCTTTGGTTCAAGAACAATCTTTGGAGCCAGGCTTAGTGGCACATACCTGTAATCTCAGCACTTGGGAGGCTGAGGCAGGTTGGACATTGCATGTTCCAGGCCAGCCTCATCTACAATGTGAGTTCAAGATCAACTTGAACAGCATAGTGAGACCCTGTCTCAAAAAGACAAAAAAAAGAATAATCCTTGGTCAGAAATATCATTAGAACAAAAACATATATGCAAAGAAAAAGAAATATCTCTAAGGCTAAAATGTTCAAAGTTATTTTCATCTCCGTAAGTTTTTGACTTGTAAAACTTTCATTATTTTTAGCAACAGAATTGTGTGTTTGTTTTATGAATGAGGAAAATACAGTAATAAAAAAGATCATAATCCCATCACTGAGACTGTACTTGGTGTGTTTCATCCTTCACAAGTTACATGCGTAGTTGTAGTATACAAATGGGTGTGGTTTGTATCTAGATGTTCCCCCAAAGCCTCGTGGACTCATAGGTGGGGTTCTTGGGAGGTGATTGGATTATCCAGGCTTAGAGCTGACTTGCTGTTCGGAGGTGGGGTCTGGTTGGAAGAGGTGGGTCTCTAGGGCCTTGGCCTGGATGTGTTTCCCTCCCTTCCCAGCTTCATCCCTCATCCTGGCTGCTTCCTGTGCCTTGAGCAGCTCCGCTCCAGCCCACTCCCCTGCCACCCCGTCCTGGCTTGGAGCCAGCTGACTGGACTGAAACAGCTACAGAAACCCTTCTTTTAGTTGCAGGTGTCAGGTATTTTGTCCAGCAGCAAAAGTGACTCAGCCAGATTCTGGTACCAGGAGTGGGGTTGTTCCTGGGACTATACTTGGCTGTGGGGTTCAGAAGCTTTTAGAACTAGCTCATGGAAGTGGTTTGGAAAGACTTCAAGATGCCTGTTGGAGAAGCCCTGGAATGCTGTAAACAGCTTCATGGGAGATCCTGATCAGAATTCGGATTACCAGAATGCTGATAGGATGTGGAAGGTAAAGGCTTAGAAGGGTTCAGTTGGGAACGAGGACTCCATTGGCAGCTGGACCTTCGGCCTGTGTGCTGTCCTGTGGCAGAAAATTTGTTTACGTTTTACTGATGTCCTGAGACTTTGTCAGAGATTGAAATTAAAAGTGGCAGACTAAAGATTTGGTGGAGGAAGTTTTAAGCCAACTGAGCAGTCAGGCTGTAGATAGCTACTGCTTGCTACTTTTAGCCAGGTTTATCCTGAAAATCAGGAGCAAAAAGCCCATCCAGAAAGTTTTCTGTTTCCCCAGAAAGAAAGGGCTGGCAAAGCTGGAGCAGAGGAGAGTGTGGTTGTTGAAAAGATTCACATTCTAAAAGAAGCCACGTACTTTACAGCAGGACAGTAGAGAAGATGGCTTGAAGATAGGTGAGGAGGAAGCAAGGCCCCTCCCACATAGACCCAAAAATGCAAAAGTCATGGGGGTGTGATGGCGCATGCCTGTAATCCCAGCACTGGAGACTGAAGCAGGAGGATTGCTGCAAGTTTGAGGGTAGTCTGGGCTACATGAGTTCAAGGCCAGGCTGAATTACATAGCAAGATGTTGTCTCAAAACAAAATTTTTTTTTAAAGAAATGCAAAAGTCTCAGATTGTGAGAAGAGAGCCCCTAGGCACTGTGCTCTAAGTGAATGGCTGCCTAGGGAATTTGTTCCCTGGGATTTGGATCGTAGTGCTCAGGCATTCATACACTTGAAGAGCTCTGCAACCATGGTACAAAGGACCCTGGCTACTGCTGCTAAAGCTGGCAGCAGACTTTGACGTTGTCTATGTGGTGGTTTTACAGATGTTCAGAATGCAAGAGTTGTGGGGTCAGGGAGGCTTCCCCCTAGAGTTCAGAATTAGGCCTGCCTGGGAGGCCAGGTGGTGTGCCCCTGAGAGGGCAGCGCACAAAGCTGTGAGAGTGAAGCTGAGAGAAAGTACAGTGGTACCTCGGTTGATGAACTTAATGCTTTCTGTGACTCCAGTCATGAGATTCGATGGTTAGGTTCAGTGTTGGCCTTAGGGAGAAATTCGATGCAGTTCTTATCCAATTTGGTTTGTGACCAGAATCGTGAAAAGAATTAAGTTCATGAACTGAAGTACCACCGTCCAGTGGAATTTGGAGATGCCGGGAACATAAAAAGTCTGCTGAGAAAAGCCGCAAAGACTGAGCAGAGCCGGCCCAAGAAAGGCTAGGGGGGCTGTGACCGGCAGCAGTAGCATAGGGGCAGGGCTGCCTAAGCGCTTTGGAGTTCCTGCGTCCTTGCCACAACTTGTGCTGGGTGCTGGTCATGGAGCCGCAGGATTCACCGTTTGCGCCACTGGATTTCAACCGTGCTTTGATCCTGTTCCTTGCTATCTTCTTGCTCCTCCTTTTGGAATGGGAATGTTTACCCTGTGCCATGTTGTGTCAGCAGTGTTGTGCTTCTTTTCCCCTGACTTCTGCAGGGGCTCACTGCTGAGAGTTTGCCGTAAGTCTCAGAGCAGCCTGTTCAGCGGTGCTGGAACTGTTAAGACTTCGGCAACTCTTAGAGACGGACTAACTGTATTTTACATAAGATGCAGCTGACTCTTCTGTGGACAAGCAGCAGAGTGTTACGGTTTGTGTCTGCTGTCGCCTCCAAAGCCTCATGCACTCAGAGCTGAGGGTTTTGGAAGGTGTTTGAGTTATGGGGGCGTAGAGTTGACTTGCTGTTAGGAGGTCTGGGCTCTGGCTGGAAGAGGGGATTTGCTGAGGCTGTGGCCCGGACGGGTTTATCTTCCTCCCCAGCCCCCTTCTTGACTCCGGCTGCTTCCCGTCCACCATTTCCTGAGTAGCTCTCTTCTGCCACTCAGCTTTGTTACACTGTCCTTCCATGGACTGAAACCTCTGCAAACTGCCGAGGCCGGAGATTAGCGCATGGCAAGCAGGCTGGGGAAGCGGGCTTGACCTGTTCGTTACAAAGTTCTGGGACATGTAGGCAGAGCAGTTCCCAAAACCCTGCTTACCGGAGCCAGTCAGAGAGTGCTAGCTTCAGTTCTTCTGGAGAGAGCTTGAGCAGGGGTTTGATAGGCAGCTGAGGCGTGGGAGATACCAAAGGAGAGTTGCCCTTGCGCTCAGGACCATTGTGCTTTCTCTTTCACAGTAGTTTGCTCTCAGCCTGTAGTGTGTACTTGTTTTCCTCCTTTTACTTGGCCCAAACTTGTTCTGCAGAGCCTGCTGCTTTTCCCACTTTTAATAAATGTAAAACCTCACTACCTTTTGCCCTTGTTTTGTCTAATTCTTTGTTCAAGACAGAAGAAACTAGAAACCAGCTCTAAAAGAAGACCCCAGAACCCCAGAACCTGGTGACACTGTGAGTCAAAAAAACCTCTCTTCTTTCTAGTTTTGGGTGTTGGGTATTTTTGTGACTAAGAAAGAAATTATTCTTATCTTTCAACAGCATGATATTTATGTATGACTAACTACTTTTAACCACTAACGGCAGCAGGTTAAAAGTAGAGAGATGGCCAGGCGTAGTGGCACACGCCTGTCGTCCCAGCACTAGAGAAGCTGGAGCAGGAGGATTGCCAACAGTTTGAGGGCAGCCTGAGCTGCATAATCAGTTCAAGGCTGGTCTGAACTACGTAGGGAGACCGTCTCAAACGCTGCCTCCTGCCTCAGAGGAAGTAGAAAAGTGGTCAAAAATATGTCAGGAAAATGCTAATAAAACCCTGTAGCAATATTAATTAGACAAAATAGCAGTCAAGGTAAGTGACATTAAAGCAGGGGCAAGGGTGGTTTCAGTCTCCTTCAAACGCATGGCTGGGAGTTTGTTACTGACTCTCCTTATCTCAGCTGTTTCATGCAGTCTCTAAAGCTTCATTGCCTAACTGCCTGTTGCGTGTCTCTTTGCATTCCTAGAGCGATTGAATCAGCCTTTGAGTTGAGAAACTTTCGCCGCCTCCTCTGCTGGTCCTTGGGATCTGATTCTTCTTCTTCTTTGGGCTTTGGTTCATTCTGGTTTCCTGGCTTTGCTTCCACTTTTTATGCCTGTCTGCTTTCCTTGCTTCCTTCTTCTTTTTTTTTTTGGTACTGGGAATCGCACTTGTGACCTTGTACTTGCTGGTCAGGCCCTTACCCCGCTGAGCTACATCCCCAGCCCTGCTTCCCCCTTGAAGGCAGCGCCAGTCTGGCCACTTTCTCCCTCTCCTTTCCTAGCCTCGGGTGGTGCTAAGATCTGATCTGTGAAATTCCTGCGTCTTGGCTTCCTGCTTTTCCAGCCCCTGACCCCGCCCTGGAGTGCTGAAGGAAACTGCTCCGGAGACGGGAACAACCCTCCATACGTTTTTTTTTTAGCAATTATTTAAGTCCATTTCCAGTTGATGAGGAATATTTTAAATTTTCTTAGCAGTCACAGTAGTATATGCATTGTCCTAGTGAAATTAAGCTTCAAGTGTTTTGGTTTTTTTTTTTTAATGTAACATATGCCCTGAACTCATACCTCTAGAGTTACAGGTTGACTTAAGTTTTAGAGTTTCTACTGTAAAGAAATCAGAGTAGTTTTAGAATATCTGAGTGTGGGTGGGTTCGTTCCCAGCCATCGTAGGCTGGGCATATTAATCACAGGTATTTAGAAGACCCTGGGGACTCCTCAGCAGAAGTGGACCAGTAGGAGCAGGTGTTGGGACACCGTGGGGCACACAGGGCGCAGAGGGCGGTCATTCGTGGCGGCTGGTGGCTCCTTCCCGTGCAGTGTCCCCCACAAAAGTGGTCAGCACTCGGCCCCACCCCGTGGGCTGCTTTTGACACTGGGCTTCTCAGTCAGCCCTGGACTGCCGTTTTGCACCGGATAACTGGCTGCTGTGGGTGCGGAGCCGCATCCTGGCCGCTGTCTAGCAGATGTTCACGGCAGTCTCAGTGGTGACAGTCAAAATCGTCTCCAGACATTGCCAGATATCCCTTCATGGTAAAGCTGTCCCCAGTTCACAACTGTGGCTCCAATACAATTCCTCCTCTGGACTTTCAGAAGCCACGCCAAGCTTTCTTAGACATTCCAGGCGCAGTAGCCAGAACAGCGATGACAAACACCTTCCATTTGCGTATTCCTTTAAGCTTTAAATGTATTTTCACATAAACCCACAGGCTTAGGTCAAATGTAATGAAATTAAGCAGCGGTACCTCCTGAAAACACTGAGGAAGGGCTATCCACACTTCGTTTTTGTTCATTTTTCTGGAGAAATTTTGTTTTTGAGGATCACAGAATATACTGTCTGCATGTTGTGATAATAGCTTTCTTTTTAAATTTCGTCACGACCTTGTGGGTTGTGCTGGGACCTTTGAGCTCTGTGGTTCCTTGTTCCCAAAGAAGTTGAAATTGGGGATGAAAGGATTTTTTAAACATGAGCGAGCTCCTCCTTCAAGCCCATGAGCACTTTGCACACAGCGCTGTGAGAATCCATCACAAGTAAAGAACTGGCTGCGGTTGGTCCCCGGAGAGACACATCACAGGAGAGGCGGGCTTGGTATTCTGAGAAGAAGCGAGCAAGCTAGGCTTTGAAAGGCATGTCATCCTTAGGTTGGCGCGGACTTGAAGGGAAGGTGGGGAGAGTACGCACAGGACTCGGGGACAGTGGGCATAGAGCAGAAGACTGCGTTGGAGTAGCCCTGCTGCTGGAAGGCAGGGTTCAGACTGGACAGTTTAAGAGATGGTTGTGGCAACCCGAGTCTGAATTCTAGGTGGCAGAAATTAAACTTCATCCTATAGCATTTGCAGCCATGATGGTTGGCAAGCGGGGACGAGGGACAGGCGTTTCGCGAAGGACCCGCTCCTCCAGGTGGCGCAGGAGAGCAGCCTGGCTCAGGGAGAGCTGTGGGGCTGTGAGGAGTGCGAGCAGGGGAAGGGACGTTGGAAGGAAAATTGGCAGGGCTCCGTGGCTGGTGCGACAGAGGTTGCAGTAAAGCGAGACATTTCCAGGCTGCGTGACAAGGCGGATGCACAGTATCTTGAACAGACACAAGCTGCCGTGAGAAGTCAGGTGACGTGTTCAGTTTTAGGCATGTCATGGTTGCGATAATGGGGTAAACATCCACAGGGACAGGGCCAGCCGGTAGCCAGAAGTCGTAAAGAACTGATGGAATGTGTGTCTGCGTGCGTGTGCGCGCGTGTGTGTGTGTGAGAGAGACAGAGAGGGAGACGGAGAGCAGGAAGGAACCTGAGAATCATCTCTTCCTCCTGCCGTCTCATTGCATGGAGGAAAAAAATGTTACGTGTTCAGTGGCCTGATCCTTATCAAGTAGCATTCAGGAGGGAGCTCCTATCGCACAATGTAAAGGAATTCTAGTCCTATAAAATGAAAAATACTGGGGGAAGAAATCTGAAGTTGCCCTCTGGGATGAAACCTAACACTTCAGGTCTGAAGCCCGAAAGGGAAGAACTTGGAATGCGGACCAGGAGGAGTGGGGGCCGGAGAAGCCTGCCCTGCCTCCGGGTGGGAGGAGGACGCGAGGCTGACCCTGATGCAGGGCGTCAGGGAGTTGGGGGGGGGGCAGGAGTCACAGGATGGGGGCTGAGAAAAGCCACTTGCCTTGATCAGGTAGCCAGGGCAGAGGCAGTTGCAACGTCAGAAGTTGCACCTGGGCAAAATGGTAGAATCATTATGACTGTGAGCTGGACAGTACCTCATCTACATTTTACAAGCGAGGAAACTGAGGCAAAGAGAGGTTAACCTGCTTGCCCAGAGTCACACCGCTCCTCAGTTATAAAGCCAGAGTTTGCCCGTCAGGCATGATTTCGGGGAGTGATTGAATGACAAGAGACTTTGACAATAAAGGGTTTGGGGTAGATTCCAGACAAGGTTACGTGGCAGGTAAGGAGCTCTGAGAGACGTGAGCAGAAGTCGGGGAAGTCAGAGAGGACACACAGTGACCCAGGCCTGGTGAAGCCGATGCCATGCGCACTGGGTATGCCGTGGGCCTTGGGCTAGAGGAGGTAAAACATCTGCTCTGAGATGGTTTGCTGCTTCTGGGCTTCTCACTGCCGAAGGCTGCTTTTAATATCCCTCTCCTCTTAAGGAGCACAGGTTTTCTAAGATTTTGATGATCAACTCTAAGCTTTTAATTGAAGTATTAATTACATTCCATGCAATGTCCCCATCTTAAGTATAATGTTTAATTTGTTTGGACTGTCAACTTTAATATGTTCACTTCCCGTTTTTTATTACCCCAAGACACAAGAAATTGCTAATCAGAAGCTGGGACTACTGCATGAAGTTAATACAGTCTAGCTAACAATAAGGATACCTAGTGCTATAATTAACCTGTTTACCCTGTCTGGGGCCTTTTCAAATAGACATCCATTTTAGCCCGTAGGTACATATTATCATCTAAGAGTGCAAAGATACAAGCGCTGTAATCAGGTAAACAGGCATGATCATGGTAAGAGATGGCCAGGAAGAATAGGACCATTGTTGGCGTTAGGCTTAACAGTGTATATTTTAATTGTACATATTTGAGGTATAAAATATGGTTACTGTAGGCAAGCAGGGTAATGTCTGTCATTTCACATGGTTACTTTCCTCTTTGTGTATTTGTGTGTGGTGTGTCAAGAACTGCAATCTTCTCTTTCAGTGAAAGTCCCCAGTACAATGCACTATTAACTTAGTCTTCATGTTTTATTAACTGTAGTCTTCATGTTTGCATTAGGTTTCCAGATGTGTTCATCCTACGTATCTGCAACTTTATGTCCTTTGATCCGTATTTCCACATCCCCCTTCCCACCTGTAACAATTCTTTTATTCTTTTTGTGTATTCAGCTTTTAAAAAAAGATTCTCCATGTAAGCAAATCATGCAGTACTTTTCTTTCTATTCCTGGCTTCTTTCACTCACTGAGCATAATCTCCAGGTTAATCCATTTTGAGGCAAATGGCAGGATCTTTCGTTAGGGGTGTGTAGCATTCCATTGTGTGTGTGTGTGTGTGTGTGTGTGTGTGTGTGTGTATCTCAGAGTTTCTTTGTCCATTCATCCATCGGTGGACGCTCTGGTGGTTTCTAATCTTGGCTATCGTGAGCAAGACTACAGTGAGCCAGAGAAAGCAGTTATCGTTAAGAGGTTGGTGATTTCATTTCTTTTGGATATGTGCCTGGGAGAGGGATTGTTAGGTCACATGGTAAATCTATTTTTAATTTCTTTAGAAACCTCAGTTTGTATTTCCACCAACAACATAAAAAGATTCTCTTGCCAACACATTTATCTCTTGAGTTTGTGATAGTAGCCATCCTCACGGGTGTGAAGTGATACCTCATTGTGCTTTTGATTTATATCCCTGATGACAAGTGACACCAAGGCACTTGCATGTCTTTGTTGGAGAAATGCCTTATTAACATGTTCTTAAAACCACCAGCCTCGCCATCATGGTTGATCCTTAGGAGTTGAGCTTGGAGAGCTGTGATCGCATTAGTTCTTCAACATAAAGAATCAATAAAAGGAGTCATAACAGATTTTTAAACTGATTTATGTGAGTGGACATGTGGTGATAGTTAGGTAACACTAGTCTCACTTCTTTCTAGTTCAGTTCTGCAAAGGATAGAATGTCGTAAACTACATTTCCCATACTCTCTTGCAGCTAGACTTGCAGATAGGATTTAGAATTCACCACTGGAGAGGTGGCAGGAGGAACAGCCAGTGTACCTCGTATAGTGATACTGTTACTTTTTCAGTTTGATAGCGATGTGGTGATATTGTTTCACAGGCTTTCTATTTTTTTCTTTTTTTCTTTTTTTGAGACAGGGTTTCACTGTGTAGTTCAGGCTGCCCTTGAATTCGCTATGTAGTCCAGACTGCCTTCAGACCTGCAGTCTTGCCTTAGCCTCCCAAGCGCTGGGTTACAGGTGTGCACTGCCATGCCCAGCTGAGGGCCTTACCTTTAAAGACATACGCTGGAGCTATTCGGGTGATGGTGGGTGGGGGTAAAGAGGAAACAGCAGTCATGAGTTGACAATTGTTGAAGGTGGTAAATAGGAGCTTATTTTACTACTTGGTTTACTTGAACATGCTAGGCAAGTATTCCACTACCCTCCCACTGAGGTATAACTAAGTTACCTAGACTGGCCTCGAACCTGTGATCCTCCTCTCCAGGATCCTGAGTAGCTGGGATTGCAGGTGTGTGGCACTAAACCTGGCCAATCTTACCTATCTTTAGAACAGTTCAAGTCTCATCAGAAAAGCTTATCTCATTTCTTCAGGCCCTATTTTTTTTTTTTTGTCTCCCTTCTTTCCTTCCTTCACATATGCATATACATATGTAATATGTCTACGTGTGTCTCTGGAGCCTTTCTGGATCCAATCCGTCACGTAGTTTGATGTCTACCGTATAAAATGTTTTATGCTGCACGGCACTTTACCGTGGTAAAGTGGTAACCTATGTGGTAACCTTGCTTGTGACTCAAGTTTCTGTGTATTCCCTTCTTTGATCTTTGCTACACAGCTCCGCGCAGAGTAGAGGTGAGCTTCCGTATTTTACGCGGGTACTGTTGTAAAGCACACCGTAACTGTAGCAAGATAGCAATGCTGGAGTAGCTCACAAAGCTGTGCAGAGGCTCTGAAGAGCTCCGCGCTGAGCAAACTAATTTGTAACCTGCTGTAAATGTTGAGAGGTGGTAATTACGGTTAACATAAAGATCTTTAGATAGTGCCTCCCACCTGCCTCTTAATTAATTGTATAGCTTGATGATTGTGTCCTATCTTTCAATGAAGCTGTAATGCTTTGTTTCTTAAACTCACCCTGTACTTCCTGCTTCTGTGGGTTGACCGCGTGCTCCTCGTACTCAGAAGTTCCTGTGGGTTCCATTTCCCCTGTCCGCGTCCTCCCTACCCGGCAGTCTGGGCGTGAGCAGCGCGGGCCGCGTGTCCGTTTCTGGCACTGTCGAGAAGTAACCAGGCATGAGCCCTGTGAGCACAGACCTGTGTTTACTGATGGAGCACAGAATAGAAAATGATGTCTTTAGTGAAAAAATACATTTATTTTAAAACTCAGTGATATGGTTTTCATCCTTTTAGTGCACATTTTTTATTCATACTGTTGCGTCTCACAGACATCCTTTGAGTGCGTGCTGGGTACCGGACAGCGAATCTACGTGCAGAAAAAACTGCAAGGCTGAGCAGCGGCACCTACCCTGTGATCACCTCTGCTTGCTGAGGTAACAGGTAACCCTTCCCCTTCGTTTTGCTCCATTTGCAAAATTGTATTTTCTACAGAAACCTGTATTGTTTATCGAGAGGGAGCTGATATATTTTTATAGAGACTGTTCTTTGAGATTCTTGCAGGGTAACACTCCATGAAAGAATCTAATATTCCCAAAGTTAAACTAGAAAAAGAGAGGGGTGGGCAGAGATAGAGAAAGTGAAAAGGAAGGAAAGGGACAAAAGGGAAGAAAAAGAGGTGCGAGGACATCCGTAAATATCTAACAGTGGCCATCGGTGGGTGGTGGCATTTCTTTTATAGTGTTTGTTTTAAAGATTTTACAGTGAGCCTGTGTTTACTCTTAGGACAAAGAAAAAAGTTGTTTCAAGGTCCAGTTCAGAGTAACTTTTATGAAGCTGTCTCAGACCTCTGAGTCTGACTACTTTTGTTTTTTGAGACAGGTTCCTGCTATGTAGTTCAGGCTGGCCTTGAACTCACAGAGATCTTCTTGCCTCTGCCTCCTGAGTGCTAGGATGACAGGCGTGAACTACCACATCTGGCCTGAATTTGACATTTTTCCAACTTTCTGAACCCCATAGCACTCAGTAGATATATGATAAATTGAACCAATACTTTTAAAGGCAGCCTCTGCCTTGGTGATAGTATTACTAAGCTTATCTATTTTCCCTTTCATCCTCCAGTGTTCATTCTTAAGAACCAGTTAGACTTCAAATAGGTTATCTTATAGCAGTGAAAATACATTCCATTTGATGAACTTGGGTGGCCATCTGCCTACTGCTGACCTTATTTTAGGGGCCAGAACTTCTGTAAACCTTTGTCTTCGGCCTATTTCTTTAACTGACTAGTTAACGTTACTTACACACTACACACACGCACACACGATACAAAGGTTTAAGTTCAAACAGTAGACTCCAGAGCTGTTATTAATCACCCCTTTTCTCAGAAAATTTGTGTCTGGTGCCATAGTTCTTTCCAGTCGCAGAGAGAAGATTCTTCGCCCAGATAGGAAGCTGGATGGGCTCCCACGGGACCTGCAGCATCATTTCTGTAGGCTCAGAGGTGGTCCTGCGGGGGGCGCTGGTGTGGCAAGACCCCAAGAACCACCCAGCGTAGCCCATTAGGACAGCTCTCACCAAAGGGGCCCGGAGGTGGAGCATTTCAGCCTTTGCGGGTGACAGACTGGGAACCTTCCTCCTGTGTTGGGGCCATGAACGCAGTTGGGGCTGAGCCAGGCCCTTGTACCACTGTAGTCTCTGGGTCACCCAGCTTCTGCCTAGAAAGAATGGGGCTCAGATCTCCCTGTCCTGACCTCCGGACTCCCGAAGAGGCCTGCCTGTAGGAAGGAAGGGGTCCTGGAACCTGAGGCATCAGACAGTAGTCATGTTGTGAAGTTTTAAAGGATCCTGAAGCCGAGGGAAGTTTCCTGCTGGAGGGGAGATTGTGTGAGAGAGAAAGAACACGATCTGGTCTGAATGTGGAAGGAGGAGTCCCGTGGGGGTCCTTTCATTATCACTGAGTGAAACACTTCTTGGGGTCTACTGGGCCGCCTGGATAGGCAGATACGGTTCTGTCTCTTAACTGAGTCAGGTCAGGCGTCTTAAAGAGCTCAGGGTCTGACAGAAGAGCAGCGTGCTCTCCAAGGGATTTACCGTTGGAAGTGAACGAGAAAACCTCTCGGACGTCCTGCTTTGTCCCGGGTCCCCACCCCTCCTGAGGCACCTGGTGAGGAGGCTCCGTGCATATATCGGCCTCTCTCTTGAAGTTGCCCTGGCCTCTCTGGCCACCTTCTTTTTGACCTGTGACACTGTCCCCCCAGAGCTCTTTCTCTTCCTTATAGTCAGTTGGTGATCCCTCGAAAACGTAAAGCGCAGCAATCCGTGTGGGAGAAAATGTGAACGCTGAGAGTCTTTCATTTCTGATGAGGAGATACAGTCGCAGGTGGATTAACCAAAATCCCCCGAGTATGAGTTTTTAATTCCCTAATTCCCCGACATGGAGTGATTTCATTGAGGAGATTGATTTAATCTCTTGCAGTTGATGGATAAACGATCTGCTCAGTTTCAAAGCAAAATTTGTGCACTGCCCGGTTGACCGCCAGGCTGGGTAGTTGATCCCTTGGCGATGCCATTTATGTAGGATTTGTGGTTTTCTTAAAATGGCATTGCTGCATCAGAGGGGCGTCTGCGTCTCTGTGGTCTGTACCCAGCTGTACATACGCGCTGTGATCTGACACGAAAGCAATGAAGCCCTGGAGTGCAGTGTTCTGTAAGAGCGTCCATACTGCCCGCCGCTGGGGTAGTGTTCCTGTAAAAGGAGGCGTAAGGTTATGGGACGTGACTCACTTTCCAGTTTAAAAGGAAGGGAAGACTTGGAAAGGCGCAATAAAATTGAGAGATGAGCTTCTCTAATTGGATGTGCAGAGAGTGCTTTAATGTGGCTAGCGGTGAACTGTGAAAGTTGTATTATCAGTAAATTACTTGTTTCCTAGTGACAGTTCATTTTAATCAGTGGTATTTGTCATATGTTTAGTTATTTCTCATCTTGTTATGTTACAGGGGTATCAAGCATATATACTTGCTGCCCTCTGCTTCGAAGTACCCTCAGAACAAGAGAAAGTTGCACTAGTTTTTGGACTACACGTACTTTCTAAACATGATGCATTTCAAAAGTGGACTCGAATTAACTGAGTTGCAGAACATGACAGTGCCTGAGGATGATAACGTTAGCAATGACTCCAACGACTTCACCGAGGTAGAAAATGGCCAGATAAATAGGTGAGTATTTTTCCACTGACACTTTCTATCCAGTGAAAGAAACAGCTCTAAAAATTTATTCTGGTTTTCGGTTATTCTCTTGAATTATTCATTACTAAAGTTATGCTCCATTTGAAGATGCAATTTGAATTTCTTATGTGACATCTGTTGGGCATAGTCTGCCATAGCAGATGAAGCAAATAGGAAAGTAATTTATTCATCTTTTCAAATCTTTCAATTGAGTCTAATAAAAATGTATAAATACATTGGACCCCAACCAGCATAAACTTTTCAAAAGCTCTGTGCTTATGAATTAGACAAACTGTTTGAATTTTACTGCATCTCAGAACTGAATGTGTCCTATGGTCGTAGGTACATGTTTTGATCAACAAATGATCAAAGTTGCATTTGCCAGTAATCCAGCATTAAAACTACAAACAAGTGCGTTGTCATTGTGAACACCCATTTGTAGTGTGGATTTTAAATAATAACAGCAGTGGGGTTCAGGTGGCTCTGTGAGGGGCTACAGTAGAAAAATGGCACAGGAAGAAGAAAGAAAAGGAGAGGAAGTAGTCGGGGTAGAGAGAGGGGCTCAGCTGGGTGTGGCGCTGCAGGCATATAATCCTAGCACTTGGGAGGCTGAGGCAGGAGGATCGCTACAAACATGTTCCAGGCCAGCCTGAGTTACATAGGGAGACCCTGTCTCAAAAACAAACCAAGAAGAAAGTGAAGGAAGAAGAAGGGAGGGAGGGAGGAAGGAAAGAAGGAAGGAAGAGGGGCTGCTTGGTAGCCCTTGCTGTTAGGTGTGACCTTGGACAAGTCCTCTCAACTCTTGGGTCTGTGTTTCTAAAGTGAAGCATGGAACCATACGTATTTCTTCCAGTTACTTGGGGCATTCTCTAACTTAGTGGTTTTTAGTGGCTTATGTGGCTCTTCAGGAAGCTCTGTAGCTTGAGAGAAGACAGTGGGGTCCCCAGGCCTATTTAGTAAACACCAGCAATGCCACACAGCAAGCAAGAGGGAAGAGACAACCCTAGTATAGGAAGAATTTTCTGTCAGCTGCTCCTCAGAGGACTAATATCTAGAATATCTAGAGAACTAAAAAAAATTGCCCCCGCACCCAAAATAAAAGCCCTGATCAAAAAATGGCAAGTTGAAATGACGAGATACTTCTCTGAAGAAAAGAAAAGAAATGTTTGGCATCTTTGGCCATTTAGAGAAGTGCAAATCAGAGCAATGCCGAGATCCCATCTTACCTCAGTGACTAGCAGAAGGACTGAAAAAACAGCACGTGCTGGTGAGGCTGGGGGAAAAGAGCCTTTCTGTACTGTTGTTGGCGTAGTACGCTCGTACCGCCGCTGTGGAAATCAGTGTGGAGATGCCTCAAAGATCTAAAGTAGAATGCTACGCCTGTCCTGGGTGTCTTCCGAAAGAGCTGGGGGTCTCAGAGCACAGCCATGCACAGCGCCCGGTAGCGAAATCCTGGGAGGACCTCTGTGTCCGCCACCGGACAAGTAGGTGAGGGAAATGTGGTGCTTTTACACGGTAGAATACTACTCAGTCATAAAGAAGGCTAAATTTGAGTCATTTGTAGAATGAATGAATCGTGAGAGCGTAATACGGAGTGAAGTAAGTCAGGCACAAAAAATGAAATGCCATGTGATTTCTCTAACCAGGAGGCCCCAAATAGAAATAATTAAAAGAACAAAACGAGAGAGCCGTGTTAAGACATGGAGAGGTAGACTGTGGAAACGTAAAAGTTGTAGGGTGGGGCGGGGTGAAAGGACCAAGATGTGATACCTATTATGCATCAGCCCCCAGCCTGAGTGTGATCTGTGTGGAGCACCAGCATACACTAATACAGCATTTTTTTTTTAAAAAAAGAGCAACAGCAGTGCTATCATTAGGGAGGGGCAGCAGGAAACTGGGGCGGGAGGGTAAGAATGTTGGTGAGCGGGTCAGCTGTCTTTTCTGACGTCCGCTCCGCGTTCCGGTGTGAGGTGTAACTGAGAGCCCAGCAGGGGGCTTCTCTGTCACCCTTAGGTCCGCGCATGGGTCCCCTTCTTCCTGCCTTGGAGGACGGGGAAGCCCCGACTCAGACAGTTTCCTCCTCTCACCATTTTCTGAGTAATGACTGTTTCCTGCATGTCACGTGCGTCACCGTCCTGGAGAGTAGGTGTACTGGAAATGAGGGAAAATTGAAAAATGGAATTTGCAGTTAAGGCAGCTAAGGCCAGGGAAGAAAAACACAGCTTGCCTGTGGGCACGGACAGGTCTGTGTGAAGCCTTGTGCGTCTGAGTGCGGGCCTTGGGACGGTTCAAAGCCAGGCTTTGCTGCGCTCCCTGCCGCCCTGCGCTCTGCGCTCTGGGCTCCTGGGGTGTGCTCCGGCCCTGCTGACTGACAGCGGCAAGTAGGACATTTTGGTTTTATAACAAAACTTCAGCCTCGAAGCAGTGCAGTCTGGAGGGCCTTCGAATGAGTCATTTATCACAGAATTCAGACTCAATTTTGAAGTTTCCCTTGCTAAGACTGATGCAACATTTTTGAGGTGATTACCACTCAGAGGAGGTAGACGAACCCTCATGTTCACCCAGACGTGGGCCTGCTGCCCGGGTGAGCTCACTTCCCCCGAGACTGTGACAAGGGCGGGGAGCTGGGATGGCTGGGCTGCGGGCAGCTGCGGGCGTCGGCCGCTTGTTTTGCAGAACTGGGGCCCGGTACTTCGGCAAATGCGCTTCTTTTTTTATTGCCCGTCCTTCACTGACCCAGCTCCCGAACTTTGCTTCATTTCTGGCTCTGGGATGGTGAAATTAACAAGCACGTAGGACGGGACGAAGCAAGTAGAGGTAAACAAATGTCAGGGAAGATCCCTGCCGATTCTGTCCAAGGCGCCTCTTGGGTGGCTCGGCCCACTGCACTGGCCCGATCTGGCAGCCCGCGTTCCTGCGCACGCCGCGCCTCAGCCCCCTGCACTCTCCCGGCCGCCGTCTCCCGTTTGTGGGAGGAAGGCAGGCTCAGCTGTATGAATCTGAAGAACCACCCTCCCCGAACAGTGACCTTTGGAGGTAACAGCGTTCTTTGGAGGAGGCTAGAGAAAGTGCGTTGATCTGCTGTCACCTGACAGCTCCTTCATGACTGCCTGAAATTCCCCACCAGGATACAATGAAAATGGTTTTCTCAGTTTAGTTAAAAATAGGATAGAGGGAGATAGGGGGCTGGGGGTTTAGCTCAGTGGCACAGCGCCTGCCTGGCAAGCGCGAGGTCGTGAGTTCGATTCCCGATAATGGGTAAAAACCAAAAAAAAAAGGATAGAGGCATTTGGCCATTAAAATACCTGTCATGAGGCTGGGAGTACCAGTGCATGTCTATGATTTTATTGCTCTGGGAGGCTGAGGCAGGAGGATCACAAGCTCAAACCCAGCCCGAGCAACTTAGGAAGACCCTGTCTCAAAATAAAAAAAAACAAAAGGGCTGGGGTTCCTCAGGGTGAAGGCCCTGGGTTCCATTCCCGGTACTGCCAAAAAACAAAACTGTTATTCCAGTTCAGTTGTTGTACTTCATGACCTGATTTTGGGTTTCTAGTCATAGATATCTGTACCTGGAATTAACACGGAGTGAACTGTGAGCTTCTCACGCTCCGTGTCTGTCTGTAGTCTGGGCCGTGACCATTTGCTTATCCTGTTCTGACTCCCTTCTGGCCTCCTCATTCTGCATGTCCCAGGCATTCTGAAGCGCCTGTAACACACTCAGCACCCTTGCTGAGGTGCAGGTTTTAGTCCAGGGGATCTGGGTTGGGGTGTGACATCGTGGCTCTAGCCAGCTTGCACGTGGCGTCCACCTGCTGGTCTGCATCATACTTGGGGTAGCTGGCTCCAGACTCTTCCTCTGGCTGAGAGCTCCTGAGAGAGGGGGGCGCTCTCAGTCATCTTGGTCTCCCCTCTACTTGTCCTAGGCCTGGCGCAGGGTGGACATTCCAAGGTGCTTGTTGAGTGGGTAGGACTGCACTTACACTGAATCCGAGTTCCGGCCTCGTCCTGTGTGGTGCTGTTCTGTGAGCCCAGCCCCGCCCTGTAGGTCAGGGATACTGGGACTGTTGTGCGACATAGTGCTGTCGGTAGGTTAGCAGCTCTGGCTCTGCGGGCAGCGACTTCCGTTTAAGTCCTGGCACGACAGTTCAGTAATTAGCACTGAAACTTTGGTCAAGTTATGTAATTTCTCTGAAGTAGTACCAGCCACACGCGGTTGTTCTGAAGACGGATGAGACAGTCCATGCACAGTCCTTGGCACGGTATCTGGCGGTGCTAAGCCTCTCAGTGTCGGGGAAGCATCGGCCACAGCGCGCTCCCTGCCAGGCCCACTTTCCCCCTCACTCCGAGGAGCCCTGACGCCCCTGGAGGTTTTGCGTGATGACTGGTCATTGTAGTCTTAAATGTGGTGAGATATTTGTGGATTGTCCTAAGTGTATCCAGAAAGAACCTTAACATATTTTCATATTTATCTGCTGATGTTCTCAATCCTACTCATGTATTATGATGTGTATTTAAAAGACATCAGGGCATCTCTTGTCATTATAGCCTGAATCAACTTATTTTTGTCTTTGTATGCTGTTCAGGGTTCATGTACTGTTAAGTTTCATTTTTAATTTGATTGATTGTGATACTAGGCATTGAACCCAGGGCCTTCACACTGAGCTACATCCATAGTCCTTTGTGAATGTATTGGATTGTAGTGTAGTGTAGCATAGTGTAGTGAATTGTATTGTAGTGTAGTGTAGTGTAGTGTATTTTGAGGCAGGGTCTTGCTAAGTCATGGAGTTACCAAGGTTGGACTAGAATTCGTGATCTTCCTGTCTTAGTTCCCTAGAGTACTGGGATCATAGGCTGTCATGCCTGGTTTAGACTTACCACTTGTGAAGACCCTTCAAAAGTTTAACCTGCTTGCCAGGCGTGATGGTGCACACCTGTCACCCCAGCACTCGGGAGGCTGAGGCTGGAGGGTCCCCGTGAGTTTGAGGCCAGCC